CTCCCTGTGGGTTAGCACGCTATTTGTTAATGCTCGTACGATGATCGTGCGGCCTCTATACAAACATGTCAAGTTGTCGCGGTGTAGTAACTCCATTCGTTCGCCATAAACAGTCGGCCGCTCGGTCAGTGTTGCGTGTCACGGCGCTGTCGCCTATTTAACCTTCTATCGGATGCGACTTTCGCGCCATTCACGTAACACCGGCGCATTACCAGCACCTGCCGAGCCAGGCCAGTTCCAGTGGTTGTTTCGGGCGCCGCATTTTAGTTACGTAACGGCGAAGTTACTTTACATGGCCGCGAACCGTGCAACGAGTGCTGTCCCGGCCCGACTAACACCAGGCTAAATTATACTCTTTACCGAGAGAGGCGAAACTCTCATCCTTCGAAAATTACCACGCCTTTACCAGCGACGTTTTCTACGCACACGCTTCCCCGGTTAAATGGCCCTACGCGGCTTTTTAACAGGTTACAACTGTTGAGCGTGGAATTATTCGTTTCATATTCGGCAGAAAGTGAGTCGGAAGAAATTGGAGAAAAATGATGTACACACACAAGAAAAAAAAAAAGAAAAAGAAAATAATAGTTCTCCAACAGATTTTAATTTTTTTTTTTTTCACTTAGAGTAGTTTTAATTTTTAAAAAAGCTTAACGTGTCGGTATCCTTGAAGAGGTTAATGTAGCTATTTCAGAACTATAATTTTAGAAATAGCTATACCTATAGTGACAATGAAAAATTGTCGTTTAAACGTTCGATAATTTAAACTTGTTATGACTTTAAAAAATGGTCACGTAAGGATCCACTTGGTCTTCTTTCAAAGCCTCTACTTTGTGACGACAGTCGCGTGTTCGTTCTTTCTCAAAGATGACTTTACATCACGCAAAATTGTGCAAAACATTTTTTTCGGAATTAGTAGATCCATCATTCAGTTTGATTGAGGTCTCCTTTTTACAAGAATCCCTTGGAATTTATTATATGACTTTTTTCCCCACCATTTCATTGAATGTTGAACGACAAAAATTCAAGAAATCCCAAAAACTTTGTCACTACAATGAGCTTCTTCAAAGTATTTTTGTTGTACAGAGAAAAATCTTCAAAACGATATTGGATTTAGTCGTGAAAGAAACTTTTCAATACTTTTGTATGTATTTGAATTTTGACAATTTTGGAGGAAAAGGTATCCTCACTTTCAAAATTACATCTTTGAAAAGAACAATGTCAGGATTGTCAAAGTGACAGAGCTTCACACTTCAAAACGAGATCAAAATGGATCGTTTCTTTTTTTACGATCAGTTTTTCATTGTCAGAATGTTAGAATTATGATTTTGTGTGAGCCTTTCTTAATTTCGTTACACAAGTACCTACATGATTAATATTCGATCCTTAAAGAATAAAGAACATACACTTCATAAGATCATTCATCCCAAGAAGATGACATAAGATAATGGCAAAATTTCGGATGAACTGAGAAAGTAACATCGTCGATCATCGTTTTTTTATGCTTTTCAATTTATGGAGTCGATCAATATATAGGAGCAACACAGCGTACATTATATAATTTTAAAGGAAAAATGAAATTTTCTCTTTGTCAACAATAATCGACTGTATTAGTTTTTTTTCAGATAATTTTAATTTATATATAACACATCTGGAGAGAGAAAGGGGATTTTCTTCTGCAGCATGGCAAACATAAAATTAAAACTAAATTTACAAAAACTAAGTCTTCTTACCATACGATCAGTTTTACATTATACTATTTAACGCTTCGAGAAAGGAATCTCATTACCTCGAGTTTATTTACAAAAAGATGGCACGAGTCAATTGTAAATTTCAAAAAATAATGCTTGTTTTGGTCGTTCCGGTTTATAAAATTTATCAATATATGTAACATTGTACTAAATGTTATCAACACATTGTAATCATGTTACAATATATGTAACACGTGTAATCATTGTATCTGTAACATATGTAATCATTTTTCATTTATTTTAAGAAATTTATTTGACCTAATTATGAAAAAGAATTTATAAAATTAATGAACTTGAATAAGTATATGTTTTGAATACATACTATGGAAATAAAATTTTCTATTAATTTTTACAAATTAGATATTATAATAATTTCTTTAATTATATAGATATAAATCAAATAGTAAATTACTAATACTAATAGGTCCATTCAGTATATATATATATATATTAAATTATCGTAACGAATTCGAGCCAAGATTATTGCAAGACTAGTTAAATTAAATATGTTGATGATTAAGAATAATGAGCCTCATAATTTAACTCCATAAAATATAATTACTAAAGTCACTCTTACAAACAATAAATTTATATATTCTGATCAAAAAAAAATCATAGTAAACAATCTTCTATAATATTCTAGGTTAAATCCTGATACTAATTCAGACTCTCTCTCAATTAAATCAAATGGTACCCGATTTAGGTCAATTAATATTCTTAATATAAATATAAAATAAAGAGGATATATTAAAATAAAAAAATTGACATTATCTTGATAAATAATAATTTTTATTAAACTAAAGTCTTCAATTATCATTATAATAACAAATACGATCAAGTAAACTAATACTTCAAATGAAATTATTTGAGAAATTGTTCGTATTATTCTAAGTATTTGAATAATTATTCAAAGACACTCAACTAACAACAAGAATTGGATATACGTTAAGTCCTATGATAAATAGTATAAAAATTATACTATAGGTAATATTAATATTGTTGTCAAGGATAGTTGATTCAGAGGACAGCTGAAGATAGAACAAACATTATTATAGATATGTAGTCGAATATTTTATTTGAATTTAAGTAGAATATTTCCTTCGATAAAAGTTTTAATATATCTCTAAAAGGCTGTATCAGACCTTTGAAAGATAATTTATTTGGACCTTTTCGATACTGTATATATATCTTAAAATTTTACGCTCAAAAAGTGTTAAAAAAGCTACACTCAATATAACTATTAGAATTATTAAAATAAAGTTTAATATAATTATTATTATTTATTATATCATGTATAGCTTAACTTAAATTCTAAATTTATTGCACTAATCTGCTAAAATAACTAAGGTATCATATATATATATATATATACATTATCTCATGTAACATTGTATAATTCATCAGAATGTTTAATATTAACCTCGTCAAAGTGTTTTAATTCCGCAGGTATATAATTCATCGAAATATTTTAATATTTTTACTCGCAGTTGATCAAACTATTTTAACAATCACTTGCAATTCATCAAAATTAATTTAACGATCAGGCTGTCCCGAGTAAAATTTATTTACACACGTGCTTCTGATTACAGAAATTCCTCAACGGTCGGAATATTTGTATATTTCCGTGGTCGTTGCCGCGGAATTTATGGAGTCTTTGTGCGAGGAAATTGACTTCCACAGTCACGGAATGATCACTTTCGACAAATCTTCGTGACGCGGCGCCGGGCACGGTTTATTAATATTCCAGATTAGAATAGCCCGCCGTGATTCACAGGGAAACTAGGCTTTTGTGCACGGCTGAAGGAGAGTTTCCGGGGACACTCAAAGCATAAATAACGATATCTCCCTTGGTCCGTATTCAGCTGCCGCTCCCTAACCAATAAGCACCCGCCTCCTATCACCAAAACTGACTGACAAGCATTCCATCAGCATTATATTTCGTAAACATAACGAGATTAGGCCGCATTGTGACGGCGACTCCAAGTTAATTTGCATTCTAATCTCTGCAGTGAGACTCTCGCCCTGTCGACAAAAAAAAAGCCACCACCTCGGAAGCTATTGCCTACGATCTATGATTTCTTTATTTACGAAGACTGTTGAGTTTATGGATACAGTGACTCCCGTTAACAATGAATATTTAAATTACTGTAATTTTATAGAAGAAAAAAGAATAATCGCACAAGAGCGAACACGAGCTCGTTTCGAAGCTTCTGTTTTCGGAATGCATCGTTCTCTCTTCTCGAGTATATCATTAAATTGTCATAATTTTAATTTTTGTCATAACCTCTGAAGATCTGATGTGCAATTTTTCTTTTTTCTTTTTTGTTTCGGATTTTATTGAACTTTGAATATTACACTCATTGTTGAATGACGAGAATTGAGAGAGAAAAGGAGAAAAACATTTTTCAACATTTTTAGACACCATGACAACAACTTGTCAGAATAAAATGAAGGTTACATTTTGAAAGTAGACTTCAATCTTCAAAACGAGCCCAATGTCATTGTTCTACGATTTCTTTGTATAAAATTGTAACAGTTTCAATAACAGTTAGTGTCTGAATATTAATGGAAGTCACTGTATTTAAGTATCATTTGGATCAAAGTGGATCAACAGATTTTTCTCTCTCGACGAAAATGATATTCATGGAAATGAAACGAGCCAGTGCTGAAGTTTTTGGTTAGTATATATGTAGTTCGTCTCCGCTGAATAATACATGAAATAATACATGCAGAGAAGGCAGAGAACGTGTTGCACGAATTGTATTTTGAATAATAACACGTCAAATTAGCTCCGTATATTTGCACGATTTATCGCCTCACACAATTTAGAGCATTTTACATCACAATTCAGTCACGTAATTGGCGTGAGCAAGACGCCTTTATCTCGTTTTCTAAAGCTAGAATATTAAAAAGTTTAGAAAAAGAAACAGAAGACGCGAAAGTACGAATGTTAGTTGTATTTGCAATGGAAATTTCAGTTTCGTTACTTTTTATTATATTCATTATCATTTTAAATATTGTGAAATATTGTTGAATAATTGTGTTATATATCTACTACTAGTTGTAAACTACGGTAATCGATAAAGTTGTATGGTATCAATTTTTTCTGGCAAATGGACGATCATGATAAATTTCACTAAAGATATCTACTGAGATTTTTTTCAAATTTTACAAAATTGTGCTAAAGCAGGGAAATTGACGAACTTGACTGTATCGTTTTCAACAAATTCTTCTTGAAGCAAGATAAGATTTCATCGATTCCGAATTGTTTCAACGACGCAAACAGATAGAAACTTTTACTCATCTATTATCATTTTACATATCACGTACACGTGTTGCTCCCAAGAAATTTAAGAAATTTGAATTTCTAAAGTCTGAGAATCTAAATTTCAAATCTTATCGGAACGGGAGTATCTCCTTGGTTTCGAATATTCGAAAAGAAGAAGAAGAAGAAGAAAAAAAAAGAAAATCTCATCGAAACTGAAGAAGAGATTTTCTTTTCGCGGAAGTGAAGAAACGATACGATTCGCGCGGCAATCGGCGGCGTTAATGGACGAGTTCCACGAGCACTGTCACCTGTGGTTCTGATACATAATATAAAGTCAGCGACTCGTATCCTGCGAATATGTATATATTCCACGCCGACTGGCTGGTTTCTCGTCGTCGGCGATAGGACGTAACAATATGGACGTAACGATGGAGTAGAATGCGAGCAAGGGAAAACGAAAGAGCGCGTCAGATGGAATTAGGCATGCTTCAACAGATTAACGGATCCGACTTGACGCGTTGCTGGAGAGCTACGGCTCAAGCACTAGTCGGATTGAATTAGTCGAACGAAGGTAATGTTTGCGAACCATAGCAGTCAAGTACATTTTGCTAATCTTCAATCTGCTGATTGTTCTGACGCGGCCGATGGAATCGTAATGGCTTTTACATTGCGATATCGATCCGGATAACGGTACTTTTATTATTTCCTCCGCTCTATTCGTGGAAACTTCAACTTGGGAATACATACAGGTATCTAACGATCCAATTGATTTTTTTTTCGAACCACTGACTTGATTTCGAAAATACTTTTTTTTT